TTTGTACAATAGGTGTCAAGTAGGTAACTGTAATGTAGTCACTGTAATGGATTTGTTAAATTGAAATTTAATGAAAGATACATGGTATAATGGTATATATATCATTGTATAAGAAAAACGAATCTGACTAGAAACAGTGAATATAACCTAGGACCTAGGATTTTTTATTTTATTTTAATATTGGTTTTATTTGTAATTATAATATAGGTAGACAAGTTGAATTATTTTTAGGAAAAACATTGCATTTGCATACTTTGCATAGTTAGCATATTTTCCTAAATAGATCAGTGATTTTTTGGTACCAGTGTGAGTTAGTTAGGTATACAAATTGAACAGCTTATCCATTTTAAACTATAAATTATTTGTGATTTTGTCAACATTTTAACATTAAATGCTTGTACAAAATTAACGGTTATTGCGGTAACTAATAGGTATAAGTACGCCGAGTGAATGGGTTATCTATTTAACGTCGCTAAGACACTCATTATTTCAGAAAACACTAAAAATGTTTTTGAAAATATTTCTTTTATAATTTTAATTTTAATTTTTATATAATTTTAAGTAGGTACCTTATATATACCTATTAAAAAACATTTTTGAAAAAAATTATATATTTTACTATTTATACCGTTTTAATTTGCTTATTGTTTTGAATGACGACGTACATTTTAGATTCTGAGTGGAACGATGAATGTATTGATTTTACAACGATGTGTGTTTTTTTTTTTTGTGTCTGTGTACACGATAAATAGTCGAAATAATGCTTCAATTTTCAACTTCAGTATCTTGTTCGATTGGAAAGTGAATATTGTTGGTGCATTGGGGAGGTCAAAATTCCCAGTAATTTTCAAAAGCGCCAAGAAAAACAAAAGAAAAATTAAGGAAAAATTGGAATTTTTACGCAAAATCATGTGTAGATACATTCAATTTTCACTGGTTGTTTATATTTGTATTTTCTATACACGGTAAAATGTTCAAAATATTTTTATTTATTTTGAACTGTTTTGGGATATTTTCAGTTTCCAATTTTATTAGTTTTTTTTTTCCTATGAATGTCAATAAAACTTTATTTGTTGAGTAAAAATATATACTTGAAAATTTAATACAAGGCTCCTACTATATTGTTACATTGACATTTGAAAAATATTAAAAATCCTTAGTCACAGTTTTTTTTTATATGCATTTTAAGTTCAAATCTTGACAAAACATGAAAAAATCACGAAAATTATCAAATTATTTTGAGTTAGAAACTCATAAAAATTTTTCTTTTTAAATCTAAGATATGAAAATGTAATACAAGATTCCTTATAAGTTTGTCTACTTTTATTGAAAATAAAATGTCCTTAAGAAAGTCAAACTAGATTTTTATGAGCCTTTGAAATTCAAATTTTTACAACTTTGGATATTCACTCGATTTTTCATGTGGTGATTTTCTTATTTTATTATGATTCAAAGACGAATAACTGAAGATACATGAAAATTTCACTGAATGTTTATTTTATCAATTTTTATACTTGATATTATTTTCAAAATATTTTGACTTGTTTTGAGCTGTTTAAGGACAATTTCATATTTCAATTTTTTTATTTTTTAATTCTATGAATTTTTATTTGTTTGACCAAAAAGTGTAAAAATTTAATACAATGCTCCTGATATATTGTTACAATAGCAGTTGAAAAATATTAAAAATACATGGGCAAAATTTTTTTATAAGCATTTTAAGATCAAATTTTGACAAAATTTATCAAATTTAAAACTGAATAATTATTTTGTAGTTGAAAATGTATATAATGTTCAACTTTTATGTATAAGGATTAAAAATTTAAAAAATATTCCATTTAAGTAGTTAATTCTGTTACCAAAAAATCTAAAAAATACACAAGCATAGTTTATTTTTATAGCCATTTTAAGTTCAAATTTGGACGAAATTACATATTAAAAAACCTAGAATAACTATTTTAGTTATTTTGTTGTGATAGTATATTATTCGGGGCTACATTAAACTTCTAAAAATCTAAAGTGTACTATTATATTATATCTATGATAGTATCACGGTTTGTTGTTGATGTATAAAGTGTTATAAGTACCTAATGGATATTGTGATATGATTAATTTGGAATTTATTATAGGTAGCTACCTATTATAGGTCAATTTTTTTTTTAATACCATAGATATGTATAATATAATATGTTTTATTCCTAGACTGACATACCGTCTCCGCTCAGAATCGGTTTTCTTATACAATATTGAATTCAAATTTAATACCATCCATTATACAGTGACCCACTTTTTTATTTCATATTCTGAATCAGAATGTTATTTGTGGTATTTCGATCTATAAAATACAAATTTCAGACAAAAAGGTAGGTACCTACCAATAGCAGGGATCACCAAATAATTTCTATGGAGGTCTGTATTGAAACTTACCAAACTTCCCAAGGTCGAAAACACATTTAAATACCCAATCACTGTTTTCACACATTAACAATTAATAACAATCCTACTAAATTGTAATAAAACGTAGGTACTTTGGAAATTCTTAGACATCGTTCTTAAACTATATTATATATTTTATAATTACGCAGCCATTATAGAGTCCGTAAAAAATGTCTGAGGTCCGGATGCGGACGTTGGTGACCCCTGAGCTATAGTATAATATAGATTGTTACTTGCCCGTGTACAGTGGGAGGGGGGAAATTCCCCCCTATGTCAGGGAGGGCATTTCCCCTCCAAAAAAAAACCCAAAATAATTTGATGGTAGGTTTGTATATCTATATTTTATGGTGGACCTAGTAGCTGGTAAAAATGTTATAACTATATTGTAAATGCAATATTGTGCGATTAACTCATGTCATAATGATTAATTATGGTAGATGGGTAACGGCAGGTTAATTTCTAGGTTTGTTCACTGTAAAAATAAAACGATTTTGCACCACTGATTGTTGTAGTAGAACAGTAGGTACCTACCTACAAAGTTTTGATGAGCAGATGAGTAGTGAAGCAACTTTTTACGGGGTACTCTAGTACCACTGCACTTCACCCATCTAACTTGAAATAGGGTACCTCGATAAAGTACTTATAAATTATAACTCATAAACTACTTGTCCAAAATTGAATTATTATGTATCAAAGTACTACAACGAAATAATGATTTGCAACAAAGAATTTAAAATGCATGTTGACATTAAAAAAGTAAAAATATTATTTTATGCTTGTATAGGAAAATAGATTGGTAAATTCAGATATGCTTATTGCTTAATGCTTACTTTTTAAAGATTGACCAAAATTACTTTTTAACAATAATCATATTATAACAAGTTAATAACAATAATGTATTATTTCTTCATTTTGTGTCCCCATGGCCTTGTGAATGAGGATTTCAACTAGGTTTTTAAATTGTAATACCTATTATAATATAGTACCTACTTATATTTTAGTATATTTATTTTGTGGGGTCACCCACAAATTATAACTGTTCGGAATTTTAAATTTTATAAAATTCCTATTACCTTACGCTATCCTAATATCCAGTATAATGCATTTCACAAACTATCATAAATAAAACGTATAAATGTGTAACAGCTATATTTAGCATATTAGTTTCAAAATTGAAAGCTGAATCAGATTATTTTTATAATAATTCTGAATTTAACAGTTATAATCTTATAAATTAAAATTGAAATACATGAAATTGATAAGGTTAGTACTTAATTAAAATAAAATGGTTTAATACATTTTAACACAGTATATCATATAATTTACTCACACTCATACTCATAATTCATAATATACATTCAATAATAATAAGATATATCAGACAATATTTTTATTAAAATTATTTTAACCAAATTTAAGTCTCATAGATGCAAAACTTTGAAGAACCACAAAAAAAACATTAAAAATAATTTGTAACATTTATATATCAGCTTTAAAATGATTAATAATTATAATAAATTTATGTATAGGATTAAAAATAATAAAATAATCTTGAAATACACAATATATTTAGGATGAATGCTTTTATCAAACAGCTAAATAATACAATTTAATTTATTTTTAAAATAATATAATAAGTTAGATAAACATAAATTAAAAATAGTTAGACACACCAGTGAGTACTCAATTTTAACTATAATTTTAATTTTATACACACTATTCCTACCACGGTTATCTTAGTAGATAATACGCTAACTACCTATACAATATAATAAGACTGGTAACAATAATAAGTATTAACTATTTAGTACATAGAATTTAAAAACTAAATAGCATTTTAGGTCAATACAATTTTGAGACAGAATTTCATTAGTTATAAAATACTACAAATGTAACAAGTTAGATAAGCTCCAAAGAAAAGTTATGACTTCAAGTTTGTTTAAAATGTTTACTAGTAGATAACCAAAACAAACTAAATACTTAAAATTTAAAATACACTTTTAATACTAACAATGATAAAATATTTAATATAGAATACCACTATTTATTATTTTGTTATATTATTAATATTTTATATATTGCAATATAGTTACCTACTTGAAATTAAAATTCTATAATTTATATTATGTTATTCAGGGAAAACAATACATTTAAACATAAACCCTGACTGGCACATTAAATTTTAAAAGGAAAATATATTATATTTGAAAATAAAAGCAATCTATTAAAGACCACAGACTTCTATACTAAACTAGATAAGCAGCTCATGTTATCAAATCAATTTTGTTGCACCATTTCATTGGTTGGGGATTGGACATGTACATGACATTATGTATTCCATATGTGTTTCGGCACAGACTATATGAAAATATAGTCTGTGGTTTCGGTATATTACATAAATAGTTTGCAATTTTTCCAACTTAAAACATGATGGAGGAGTTTCAATTATTTTGTATTTGTTTTATTTAGAGTTGCTAATCTAGTAAACTCATAGACAAATAAAACATATTGATTTATATGTCTATAATTACACTATAGAAACCTGTGTTAGACACATCAAATATTTACAGGGATACAGATTTTAAGGAATTAATTTCTCTTTGGATATTATTCCTAGCCACTGATTCATATTTATCTCTGTAGAACTTTGTTGCATATATGTTAGGAATTTGTAGAAAACTTTCAAGAACCTGTCAACAAAAAACAATATTTATACATAAAATAAAATTATTACACCACCAAGTGCGCCCGAAGGATAAAATTCCACCCGGAGAAAGATGAAAATAACTTATAAATTATAATCTAATAATAGTTATAGCAATATTGATAAGTACATGCAGTTAAACATTCTCAGGGGGGAGCAATGGTCCCTATGGCACCCCCATGATCACCATGACACAGTATTAGAATGTGTCTATAATTTACCTTTATACGTAATTCTTTATAAGTTTCTTCATCAAGGAAAGCGTATTCTTCTCGAACGTGGTTTGTGTATTTTTCATAATCAGCCGGTCCCATACCTAGAATGGCCATGTCTACGTCCAAAAAGTAATGTTTATCCTCACATCCATAACATCCTTCAGTTTTATGTTCTTCTGTACTATTTGTTGCACCAACTTTTAACAATGAAATAACATTGTCACACAAAACTGTATCCTAGAAAGAAAAAAAAAAATACACATTTTAAAATCAAAAATATATGCATACAAAAATTGAATATAGTAAACATTTACCATATTAAGTTTTGATTCTTCGGAGAACCTTCGAAAATGATTGATATTGTCTTCACTGCAGTCTGCTAACTTAGGGTCATATTCAAAACTAAAAATAGTTTATTAAGTGTTATATTTTCAAACAAGACTTCAATGTTCCAACTTACTATCGAAATATTATTGCTAAAATCACTGCATTTGGATTTTTTACTAAGCTTCTGGCCGTTTCAAATTGTTGCAAACAGTCGTTCAGATCATTCAGACCATGACACCGTCGATCAGGTGCACTGTAACGATCCACCAACGCTCTCACCCAGACATCTCTGACTGATTCGTGCACATCATTCGACAGCGATCCATTAAAATATTTTCTCAACATTGTGAAGTTTCCTAATCTAACAGTGAACAAATGAATAATTATATGTGAATAACACAGTAGGGACGGATAGATTCACACACTCTTTTAGCACTCAGCTGTGCAGAAATGTATACTTGTTAAGTTATTGATTTTTGAGCATAAAGAAAATTTAAACTATTTGGTAGAATCACTCACGGTAAAACCCACGAACGTGGATTATCTGTTTCCTTTCTTTTTTACCTTTGTGGGTTTAGAAAATATTAGGTACCTATGAAATATGAATTATGAAACTGCAAAATTCGTGAAAAATGAGAATAATAATCGAAGGTTTAAAATTAAATTTCATTTTTTTTCATAAAAATACTATTATAGCATATTTGCTGTAACGACGTTGGTAACACTGTAAAATGTTATCAAGCCATATCGCAAAATCAAAATTGAAAATTTGAAAACAAACGATAAAGATTTAAAAAATAAATTACGTTTTTAATTTTTTAATTTTTAGTATCGCAATATTGCAGAATAACAGTTAACGATCGACAGCAATGATGACAAAACAATAGTTAATAATTGTGAATATATTTGGAAATTAAAATTATTTAGATATAGAAATTATAATAACTGAGCACTTTTAGTTATAGTTGAGAGTATTGTTTTCTCCAAAACTGGTAATACGATAAATAATGCCATGAACTTGGCTTGGTCACTACTGATCGTTGTCCTACTGACGTTCTGTGTACATTCAGCACAGCCGTCTATGGGGAAAACGACCATCTATGAAACAGAATGTAAACATCTACGAATGGGCCAGTTCATGTGCCCCGATGATGGGTACGAATTCATCGACCCAGAGACACAGCAGTTACGAGGGTGCACCAAAGACAATGTTGCTCAAGGTTTTGAATAACTTAATACATTTGATGTTGCTTAACATTGTCATATAACTAAATTGTATAATTATAAATTTTTTGTTTAAGTTCGGTGTAAAGCAAGCGATGGTATTGTGTGTTTAGAAACCAAAAACTCGACATTTTGGAAAGAATTCCCATGTAAATGGACGTGAGTTTATATTGTTCTGTGTCTCAACTAATTATTTTACCTAAAATACCTTACTATAATTTGTATTCTAGCAATGGTTACCATTATGACACAACACTGTTATTGTCAATTTTTCTGGGCATGTTTGGTGTGGACCGTTTCTATCTAGGTTACCCGGCAATTGGTTTACTGAAACTATGCACACTTGGGTTTATGTTCATTGGCCAGCTTGTCGACGTAGTACTTATTGCAACACAAATTGTTCGTCCGGCTGATGGATCACACTATATCATTCCTTATTATGGTCCTGGCATTAACTTTATACTCATGGACAACGAAACTTACAGACAACCACAAGATGATTGGTTTGTTGATCATAATGAACTATAAAGTCTTATAATAATTATTTTAAGTATCTAGATTAAGTGTACTTACTATTATTACCATTAAAGTTATGAGATGTATCAATTATTTTGTTAAAAAAATTATATTATTTGATACCTAATCTATTAATTCCAAATAGGTAGGAACTACCATAAAAAAAAAAAATCATTTTTTTTATATCTACCTATATTATATATTAAAAATAGTTCCAATTGTTACACATTCGCGTAATTTCTTGTTAAGAGTTTTTTTTCTTTAAATGAGAAGTTCAATACAACAAAATATTTATAAAAGTAAAAAATAGTGGAAGTATGAATTCAACAAAAATTAAGAAGAAATAGATGTTCAAATTTCTTGCCTAAAATGTATTCAACTAAGCATCTACCATACCCAGTTTGTTTATGTTTGAAATATTTCAACATTCTATACTTATATTTTTTTGTCTAACTGTATATTTTTTATAATTAACTATAGTAATTGACTTTTTTTAATGAATAATAAAATATATTTTTGAACATGTGATCTTTAGACAGTTGACTCATGCCCATTTTATACATACAATAATTAAAAATAAAGCAACTAAATTCTAAAATATTATACATTTAATAAAAATTGAATTTTCTAAATTTGATTTACTCAGTCACGTGGATTCTTTTCCTACAGGGCCACGCCCTATTTTTGATGTCATGCATTTTGAATAAATTAATATTTTAATCTGTTATTCAGGGTGATTTTTTAAGCATTCTCACCATATTTTTATGCTTACATTTTTAAATACACATAGGATCATATTTTCGGATCCTTGAGATTTTTCAAACCACTTAAGGATGATCCTGTGGAAATACAAACTTCTGTTTTTCAAATAGGAACCCCCCCTCCCCTTTTCATATTTAATTATTCAGAAGGTATTTTTTTTTTTGGGAATTTTGATGTAAATATTAAATCAAAATTCAAACTACTAGTTTTTTGAGTTTTATTACTTTATGTATTAAGGGTAATATGTCTATAGTAATGGGCTAAGTAGATTTGGGGGCTTAGATGATTTGAAAATTTTAGTAATAACTATTGATTTATCAATATAAATAATTTGTAAAAATAAACCAAGTATAATGTATACCATGACAAATTTGATAGGTATCATCACAGTTGAACTAGTTTAGAAGTGGAGAACTACAATAAAGGCGAAGTAAAGAGCGGTAGATGCATATCAAAATACTATGATAGCTATCTAATTTGTCATTGACATCTAATATTAAATATAGATTATACTTTTGTAAAACCATATTTAATTATTATTATCCTTAGTACAAACATTTTAATAACTTAGAAACTACTTATTAGAATTTTGATTTAGATACATCAAATAGTCAATAAAATTGCCCGCTAAATAATTTGCAGTTAAGAGTGGGGGGGGGTCTTATTTTAAAAATAGTTGTCTGTATTGCCACAGGTCACTCTTTAGGAGTACAAAAAAATCAAGAATTTTAAAATATGGTCTAGGTATACTTAAAAATTCTAAAATTCAAAATTTGAATAAATGTGTAGTAACACATGTTTTAGCCTTTAGGTTTGAATTTTTGTTATGTTACTGTGGTGTGATTACTTTTTCGTTATAATAATTTGGTAACTAGAAAATTAAAAAAAAAAAAAGGAGTAACTAAATGACAAATGTAGCAAGCTACTCAATTTTTTCCACTTTGAAGAAAATGTATGAATCATAAATATGTATTAATAAGTAACCATTAATTGAATATATACCTAATGGAAATTAGGTAAATTTTTACATTTTATTCGTTTCTATGGTGATAAAGCAAAATCAGTTGGAAAATAAAAATGTCTGTACCCAGCCCAAAAACATATATATGTTAAAAACATAATTATCACTGTATATGTAATTACATTAGTTAGGACAAATATTAAACTAGGGAGAATTTATGTTGCAGAGCTGCATGATACATATCCCTTTTTAAACTTTTAAAATGTTTAGAAATAAAAGAAAACAGAATTAAAAATGTTATAGTGGGTACCAGAAGAGTACATAAAAAAAATCCTACACATTTCTCAAAACATAAAAATAAGTTATTTAACCCGTAAGTGGTACGACATTTTAAGAAGTAAACCAAAACAAAAACTGCAGCGGTCTATGGGACCGGACCATACCACTTACGGGTTAATCATTAATGTATAGTAAATGTATATAATCAACTCATGCAAACATTTACTAAAGTCGGTTTCTTGGTTTCTAAGTAGGAAGGTACCTATTTAAAAAGACCTGCCATAACTTTGACAGTTGAGCCTGTCACCACCTCAACCAAAAGTGATATTTTAATATTACAATTCTATCCTTATTTATACATGTTAATAGTATAACTTATAATAATATGTGTAAAAAGTAACAGAAAATCTAATGTGTGCTCATAGAAACAAGATAAATATGATGTTAAAAACATGTATTCAATTCTCCGATTAAATTATAGGTAAACATTTAGGCCATACTAAACTATTGATTAGGTATTATACTTTACTTAATACTTTATTAGTTTCTACAAAACACAAATTATAATAAAAAGTAAACTCCCGTTATGTCGTAACCCAAAGAGAACAGAAAAAAGTTCAAGATATTGAGTTTTATTATAATGGTAATTGTTTTAAGAAGATTTCAATTGAATTCAAGATTACAAAAAATTTAAATATCAACGTTCAACATAATAAGAATTTGCTCAATTTGCTGTAAAGCAACAGTAGAAATTGATTTGTATTACATACAATTTCAAAGAGATATAGGTAATGGTTATACTATCCAATTAGGTACATTTAATAATTATTAACGATACATTGCAAATTATGATGGGTTATAAGGTTTCCATATTGTATTTTTGCTTTAGTATAGTACAATAGGTACTAAAGCTAATATTATAGTATATTATATTATATGATATTTCATCACTACCCAACTAAATAGCTAAAAAATAATTGCATTAGTTAAAAATAAAATGCACCTATATAATTATTTAATAAATATAGGTTTTGTAGTTTTCTCAATAATACTAGTCTATATAATAGTTCTTTGTAATACAATAAAGATAGTAAAAGTTCATGGAATAATATTTCATACTCATAAAATGACAATAAATACTTACATAATATCAAATTGAAGTTATAAAACTCAGTAGGTAATTATTATTATTATTTAGTAGGTATTATAACTTCTAACACACACTATGTCACTATGTGAATACATTTTCTTACTAATACTAACATTTAATAGAGGTAGGTACATTAAGTATTCATTATTCATAGGTACAAATAAATAAAATGTTAAAATTAATAATTAAATAGTATAATTAATTTCAGAATACTTTAGCCTAAATAAATGTTCTAAGTTTTTTCAACAGCATAATACCTACTAGCATATTTTATTAAGGATATAATATAAATAATATATTTAGTACAATACACACATAAAACACACATAAAAAATGTACGCAATAATTAATACAAAACGGTAAGTAGGAGCTGTGTCAACATGGCGTAACCAATGAGCAATTGGAGCTTGGAGGGTGCAGCAATATAGGTAAATACTTACATACGTATTGTGAATTGTGATATATGTATTGTGTTAACAGTCTTTTAAAATACAAATAAATTACTCTTTAGAAAATAAATAACAGCAATTAAAGTTTACCGGTATAACTTATAAATCTTTCATCTCTCAGATCAAAACAAAATGTTGTTTTACTACAGGGATTAAGATGCAGATTTTTTTAAGAGACTAAGTACCTACCCATAGCTTTTACCGAAATATCAACATTTATATTTAAAAACCTCTAAATCTCACAGCACCCACCATAAAGGTATAAGGATGGCTATCCTTATAAAAAGGAGCCTCTGAAAATGTCAATCCTGAGCCCAGATTTTAAAGCTACGCCACGGACTATATTTAACAGCAATATAAAAAACAATAAACATTTTCAAAATGGTAAAAATTGATCATGAGTATTATTATAATGTGTTGACTTTATTTTTCATTAGAAGGTTAAATAATTTCTCAATCTTTGTAAAATTTTAATAAATACCTACCTATTTAGATTTGTATCAAATAAACACTTAAATATTCAAATATATAAAATAAAAAAAATTCATAATAATATTGACTGTTTGAGAGTAGGGAAATGGCATTTATATGTTATATAAATTAAAGATCTTACTATTATAATCACTTGATTTGTTATTTGGCTTAAAATATTATACGTAATATTTTACTGGGCCTTTGGTCTTAAGCAGTTGATCTACCCTTGATGGAATCGACTGCAATAGTCCTTTGCAAGTTGTCATCTCGATCGGCATCATAGCTTCCACTCTAGGATCTTTCTGGCAGTAATCCACAACAATCTATAATGAGACACAGGTAACTGGTTAGTAGTTGTTACACTATGGGTGGTTCTGGCTAACTACTGGTTAGTATAGATAAATTATTATAACAAGCCAACAGTTTATTTATTTTCATTACCTACAACATAAGAATAGTATCTATTGTGAAGTAAAAATTAAAAGTGGTTGCCTTAAAATAGCTTCTTTTATTGCTAACCATTGAATGAAAATATTTAAATAAGCTACCAAACATAATATAGCGGTATTATATATTAAACAGTGTATGTTTTATAATAATAATTATATTTTAATATTTATATACCTATAGTTTCAAAAATAAGACTGTAGGCAGGTATGTCACTATTATATATTTCAAAGATTCAAGAAACACCTTTGTATTAGGTAATTTGAACAATTTCTAAATGATTATATTACTGTACATAGGTACCTATATTTTATTTTTAAAAAAACAGCCCCATGCTTTTATGTAGTTACCAGCTATTATGTTAGGTTTAATCAGAATGGGGGAGTAGGCGACATATAAATATATAATATTGAGAAAGAACAACTTACGGTCAGTTGCAGATGATTGTCTATACGAGCTTGAAGCTGCAGCTGTCACCCAAGGCCCCAAC